AAAACCTCTGTATGTCTGCAGACACTTTCTGGTTGTTGGCACACACAGGCAGACTGCACTGTTGTTACTCTGCCCATCTCTTCAGTGCATCGCTCTCTTTTCTTTAGGATACACACCTCAGTATTTGGCACCTTAATGGAGCCACCAATCCCAATAGTCGCTTCATGAATAACATCTGGGTTAAGGATTTCCTTTTTCCTCCCTTTGATGTCGTTATAGAAGCAAGATTCGATTTGATTTGATACACCTTTATTAGTCCCACGAGGGGAAATTTCATGTAAAGGCTGCCGACCTATTGCACACAATGGCAGCGCCATCTTACCCTCCGACCATACGTACATTACACAAAAACATCACATGGGGAAGACAGGTCAGAGAGGTATAACAATGGAAAATGCACCACATGAGGAAAGATAAGCTTCTCCAAGATCTTATCCGTGCTGCAGTCAATGAGCCCATTTTGAGAAACTCACGCCTCATCCCATCATTTCAATCCCAGCAGGCAGCCTTGTGGGGGTTTGAACAGCTGGTTCCGCTTCCTTAATTCTTCGATACGTCAGACCAGCTCCGATCAGCAAGAACCCTGTTATCATGGTTCAGAATAGGTAGATATCTTCAGCACTCAGGCTCACCCAAGCCCAAACTTCTCATTGAGAAAGGGGTGTCAATTGCATTCAGGGACCAGTTGATCAAATCCATAATTCTCTTTTAAGTTTTAGAGAACGGACTGTGAGAGAGTGTTCCAGGGAAAAGTAATACAAAAAACACGAGACTAGACAAGGACACAAGAGGCTAAGCAGGGAAGCTAAGGGAGGGGAGCAGAGGAGAGGAGAAAAGTGCGACCGCTTTCGTCAAGAGCAAGAGCAGAATTCTTGAGCAGAATTCTTGAGTGTTCATGCACAGAAAAAAAAGGACAAGCACCAGAGTTAGGATGAATCACTCTCTTTATCTAGAGAGCCTGCACTGAGTCTTAAGGCTAGGTCTTTCAAGTGTAATGGCCTGATAAGATACCACAGTCCCAGATGATGTCACAGTAAAACAGTATTGTACTGATCCAGTAGAATACACACAAACCTCGTGCTTGTTTTGAACATTTCCTTTTGGCACAAGGAGTTAAAGGTTTGCAGTTTTCCTCATAAACAGTTGAACAACACAGAAGAATAGAGGCACTTACTACTGACATGCACACTGATAAGGCCAAACAGGACCGGTGACGGGAAATGTTTGGCAGCATTCAGCAATTTGCTCATTCTCACTCGATCCTTTCACATCAAAAGGGTGTGACTGGATATCATAAATAAGGGCTACTTTACCTTAAACATCCCATTAAATCCATGTGTCTTAAAATGACAATAAGCCCAAAAGGGTGGCTTACCATGTCAACGTAAAGCCACGAACGACACTAAAGGACCACTACAGTGTCGTCAACAATGGACTTGTTAAGGTTTATCCTTATTAGTAATTGAGTAACAGCAACACCCAACATCATGCCAGTTGCACAAAGCCTTGCAGCGGGAATGAACTACTATTTACAAGTCTCTGAACAAACTGTGGGTTACGTCACTTTCAGCAAGTTTCTCTCACAGGCTCAACGCAGACGTAGCTCCTCATTTGTAACCTAAGTTTCGGTGTTAATCGGATTTTACCATGACGCAAGTCCCCCATTCACTTCTGGCCTCGAACACAAACAGTAGTCATGATAAAGAGCGTGTGGAAACAATACAAAATGACAAACTGCAGCTCTCCACCTAATCTGTACCATATTTGGTTTTGGGGCAGTGTTTCAATGGCAGTTCAGCTAGAGCGTTAAGTGAGACCTCGCTTCAGGACCTTCATATGCCATACATAGAGCGTGGACTCAAAGGTCAGAAGCTAGAGACCGGTGACCAGACATGGGGCAGGGGATGGATAAAGCTGTGCCTGACCTCACACTGCCTATGTGGATGGAGCAGAACAGCTGACAGGCCTTAAACAGTCCCCAGCCCACACTTCCTATTGGCTGCCTGTGACATCATGCTTCTATCCCCATTTTTTCACCTCCTCTTTTCAGGGTGGGTGGAGAGTTCAGTTCTTCCTCCTCCTTCTTCTCCCCCGTCTCTCCTTCTCTTCCCCCCCATCCCACACACACAAATACACTCAGCTTTCTTTGCCCCTTTTAGGGACCTCAGCAGCTTCAGGAGGGAAGAGAGAAGAGGAAGGAGGGAGCAAGAAAATGAAAGAAAGATGAAAGAACGATTAAAGCATGTAGTGTGGAAGCTTTGCTAATTTTATCTACATTTCTAGACAGAGGTGTGTGTGTGTGAGAGAGAGAGTTTCCTCCAACTTGTGTGGCAGGTACATGGCTTGTATGACTCTCATACAGAGCACCACTGCCACATCACACTTGTTTATCGTTAAAATGCTCCCCGATGGGTCAGCGTGTGGTCTGTAAGCATGAAGCAGAATCTGCATATAAGCCATAAAGTTTTCTTTTTCCTCTCTTTCCTAGGCTCTCGGACTTGAGCAAGTCCTTCCTAATTAACACATGCCAAATGAGGAGTTTTGTCTGGCGTATCGTGCTTCATCGTGTTATTGTAAAACTCTGGGTTTGACATTTTCACTAGAGGACAGCTACAGCTGGGCTTTTTCTTTTTCCAGTAATGAAACCAAAAGATTATTAAAGCAAAAGAAAACTAAAAAAAGAGAGAGAGCCACAAAGGGAGACAATAAGAGGAGGCATATTGGGAAATAATTGCTTAATATAAAAATATGCGCTGTAAAAAGAAGAAGAATCAGACTGTTTTTTTAGTGTTTTAAACTAGACATGCAGCAGAGGGATGCGGCGTTTTAGGGAGATTTAAAACACAAAAATGATCAAGACATGCATTCTATGCGTGATGAGGGACAGTGACTAAGGGCTGAGATTCCCCTGCTCTGCGACAATCAAACCTAGTGTTTAGTGCCGGATCACATCCCTCGGCGATAGATTAGCTCTAAGTCGGATTAAGGAGGAGTCAGTGCATATAGGAGAGGTGAAGTGTCATCAAAGCGCTGCAAGAGGACTCAAAGACACTGCAGTGGTTAGCAAGCATGAGGCAGGAGGGTTTATTTGGGACTTACGGGAAGATGGAGAAAGATCTGGGGGCGGGTTTTTTATGTTGGGCACAAAGCACAAAAACTACATTTGAACACACTTTCAGCTCGTATAGCTTGTCCTGCTATGACACCAAAAGCTGCAGCTTAATCAAAAAGAAAACCACCACAGGTGTGAACACACTATAAACCCGGAGCATTCAGAAGTCGACACAGAGGGCAGAGAGGACAGATGCCAGTGCAGAGGCTGGGAAATGGACACAGGGAACAAGACTGCTTCCAGCTACAGGAAGCGTGCTAAGCCCCCACCATGTTAAACATAAGACTTCCAGAAATGATTGAAACAAAATGCCCATGCTTTCTCCCCACCAAACAAACAATAGTCTCCTTTGTGAAAGCCCGTGGCTACCAACAGTCAGGGGAGATATAAAGACACAGTTTAGAAAGAGCGGGCAATTTTTCCCCCCTTCTTTTTTGAGGCTGCAGACAACTCTCTCCTTCAGTTTGGACAGACGGGGACATAAATGTGGGGCGCACTAGTGTGGCCCACTTAGGTGCCCCCTGCTTAGAAAAAAATGCTTTTGTTTTCCTGTTGTTACAGGCCTCAAACAACTCAAGGAACAAGGCTGCAACAGTAGCGGAGCACCAGCAGGGGGTCAACGCCATGGTAGAGAGGCACGCTAACACAGCAGACATGTTACACACATTCATTGAGATTGTAAACACAGGGCTGAGGAACCAGTTTTTTCCCCCCTTGTTGTGACCTAAAAATCTGTTGTATTCCATTAATGGTTCAGTGAGCGTCTTCTAAAGCAACACAGCATATCTACCACAGTCTCTCACACCATGTGAACTCTGATATTTCAGACTTATTATCATTCCTTCAGCTCCGTTTTAATCAGCCCCAGGGTTTCCCCGAGCAGATCACTTTACACAAGTTTTCTGTCATCCTTAAAAGATCACTCTGCTCCTCTGACACACATGTGGTAACCTGCGTAAAGAGGACACTGCACCAACTGCAAGCACAGGATGAGCCGATTCTATATTTACCCGAGAACTGCTGTATCTCTGCTGTCCCCAGATGCAGTAATTCATTAGTTATTTCATAAATGTCTTGTTAACTCTTATTGGTCTGAATGCTGCTAAACTGAACATCATAAACTTTAATAAATGGGGGTCCCGAGGCTATATTTTTTCTCTTCAACAGAAGCACTGGATCAGCTCTGGAATTACTTGAGAGAGAAAAAAATCATATGCCTCATAGCACATGACTGTAGTATTTAACTCCACCAAGGAACATGCAGATGATAACACAATGAGCTCTTTATCCTACTTGAATTGTGTGTTAAATATTAATCATCAATAATGCAACATATTCTACGTAACATCAACTGGTGTTAAAATGCTGCCCACGCCCCGATTAAGACCATAACAAGACACCATGGGAGAGTAGAAATCGCACCTGCTAGATCAGTGATTTCCGCCGGAATGCACTTATTCAAACATGAATGTGCGCACAGATACACACACACACACACACACACACACACACACACACACACACACACACACACACACACAC